GCATTAAACCTTGTACTTTTCTGCCTAGTAAAACAAAGAACTATTTTCTTATGAAAAAATCCCACAATTTTCAATTTCTTTGGTAGAGTTCCAAAAATAATCGTTAACAAACAATTGGGAAGCAACTAAAGGTACTCTAAGCCACTAAAAAAAGAACTGAATTGAATTCAGCTTAAAGTTGAGCGAGCATACAAAATTTCATTGTTTCATGTCCAACCATTTCGAAAATAATAAGAAGCCTTCTTCAGGGAAGCCTCTTAAAAATGCTGTGGCGCCTTTGAAGCACCTTGAGACTATATTTTCGACCCTTGTTCATTCAAAATGTTTCCCTAATTTTTAATCGAAAGTATTGCACGCTGTTTAGGGACACCATCTAAAGAAAGGTACTATGAGTATGAAAAAATAATCATATTCACCATTTTGTTGATTTGCAGATATAAACCTAACAAAGGAAAGCGTCCGTACTCTGTACACCAACTATACATATACACCAAACCACCGACATTTCCACTGTGCACTGAGCGTTGGGAAAATAACGAGAGAGAAGTAAGTCCCTATTCACGCACCCTAAACCCTACTGGAATCGAACAAGTGTACTCCAATCTACTGGTGGCGTAGGTCAGTCCTAACTAGAGGGTGAGATGTCTCGTACAGGGTGATTCACCATAAATGTCCCCCCATCTAGCTCAGTTATTTTTCAATCAATCGCAAAATTTGAGGCATCATTTAAAATAATTGTTGATAAAAATGTTTTCTACTACATCAGAAAATACAGGGTGCTCGGAACAAACGATCTACAGGGTACTAGTTGATTGAAACACCCTGTGTTTCATTGAATTTTTAGATTCATCCTAAAGAGCTGATCTCATCAATAGGAGTCTAGCGTGAATGATTACAGAGATATAGGGTGTTCAGAATCGGGATTTTTCAACTCAAGGATTTTTCGTCAGTCGAAGCTATTCATTGAACTACCCTGGAGTGTTCCGATTAAATGTCAATAGATAGTAAATCAAAAGTTGTGATATGGACATATGACTCGTTTTGACCAATAATGAATAGTTTGGACACAAAGTTGAAAAATCTCGATTTTTTTATCGCTTGGAGCGCACGAAAGGGAATCCCTATAATGTTCAAAGAACATCGTGCGTTCCTAGGGAGGATAGGGACAGGAGGTAGGTATTGGAATTTTTTTGAACTTTTTATATGTTGTTGGGAATACTTCGACAGGCAATGAATTCCAGAGCCTAGCCGTTCTATGGATGAAGGAGTCTTGATAAAGTGCTGTTCGACATCTTCCGAGGTTGACGACGAAAGGATGTGCTGACTGGGCTTGTCTAGTTCGTCTGATTGGTATTGCTAGTGAAGGGATGATAGCAGAGATTTCCGAAGAACATTTCCCGTGGAAGTATCAATAGAAAAGTGAAAGGTCGCCGACCTTTATACGCTGTTCCAATGATGTCAAAGAGTGAGTGAGTGTGGCGTCACCCACCAGGCGAATGGCTCTTCTCTGGATGGAATCTAAGAGCATCAGCGTATGTTTTGGTGCTGAACCCCATATGTGGGAACAGTATTCTAGAACAGGCCGTATCTGCGCTTTGTAGATCATGAGAAGCTGTTGAGGTGTAAAGTAGCTTTTCGCACGGAACAAGAATCCGAGTTTTTGTGAAGCAGCTTTTGCGATGGATCTGACATGATTATCCCATGAAAGAGTGTTGTTGATGGAAATACCGAGCATAGATATGGTGGGCTTGGTGGGGATGGTGGTGCCAGACATTACAATATTGGGCATACTGAGTTCCGCCTTTCTAGAGAAAATACAGGCTTGAGTTTTGGTGGCGTTGAATTCAACTAAGGTTGTTGGTTCCCCAGGCTGTGATTTCAGCAAGATCTTCATTGACAGCATTGACCTGCCTGCGCCGTGAGTTCTTAGTTTCCTGGGAAGAAATGGGAATTCTGGAAGAGAACGCATAGTATGGAGGGTACTATCATCTGCAACATTTTGAACACCCTATACCTCTTTAATTATTCCCGCTAGACCCCAAGTGTGATGCATTGATGAAATCAGCTCTTCAGGAAGAATATAAAGATGAAATCAACTAGTACCCTGTAGATCGTTTGTTCCGAGCACCCTGTATTTTCTGATGAAGAGGAAAAAACTCATTGAAAAATCATTTCAAATGATCCCTTAAATTTTGCGATCGGGTCAAAAATAACTGAGCTAGAGGGAGTACATTTATGGTGAATCACCCTGTACTTCTCCCTCATTCAGTTTCTTCAAGTCTCTCTCAGGGAGTACGTATACAGGGTGATTCAAAAGTAAGCGGCATCCTTTCGAAAGCGTAATCCTTGCATAAAAATAAGGCAAAAAGTTCCTATTAATATGGGTCCGAAAATGCTTTTCTCCGCTACGCCCCTTTGAATAGGACTGGTTAAAGACAATTTTTTTCTTTATAACTTTAAAACCCTTTAATATTGAATTTTGAAAATTGGTGTACGGTAAAAACAGTTGATGGTTAATAAGATTCTGAATTCAAAAAGGTTGAATAATGTTAGTTAAAAAGGATTGTTTTCATGATGGTGATGCAAAATGATTTCCATCAATAAACATACTCAAGTCAGAAAGTTTTCAAAGTCGATTTTCTCGTGAACGGTACGCTTGATTCGAAGTTGGAGTGTCTTTTTTACGTAAAAAATCTAGAATTTTATAATTCTCACAATAACCTAAAAAGTAGAGAAAAAAGCGTTGGTCCCTTGGGAAGTAATTTTGGACCCATATTAATAGGAACTTGTTGCCTCATTTGTCATTTGTATGCAAGGATTACGGCCCCACATAATGTTTCGATATACAGGGTGTTTCAGTGGCAAGTATGCCAAATAAATAGTACTTTGAAAAACTGAAAAACACGCTTTCGTAAATAGTCAAACCAAATAAAAATAGAAAATAAAATAATAGAAAATATTAGCACTTCCGTAATCAGTATTTTCTATGTTGTTTTTCCATACTTTTCTTTCATTTTGGCTATCTACAGAGTGACCCATTTGAAACCGGGCCACCCTGATAAATTTTAAATCTATGGAGCGATTTTCACGATTTTTTCGTAATGTAGAGGGGGAAAAGATGTTTTTCGGAGATACGCGGAGTCCATTTTTTAAAAAACCACAAGGCTTGCTGGATCACATTCAGAGGCTGAAAAATCCAGAAACGATATTAGCGATTTTCTAGAAAAAAATCCGCGTACACCACTGGAATCGGCGTCCTCTGAATTTTTTTCTGGAGGTTATATGCCTCGCGGAACACCTCCCTTGGCAATGTGTTCCAGAGCCTCGCTGTTCGTTGGATGAACGAGTCTTTGCATGGAAAGAGATGTAATGTTTCGAAGCCCACACTTCTATGTAAAATTACTTAAGAATCACCCTGTATAAATATGGATTGCACTTCACTGTACAGGCATCGAGAAAAATGCGGGAACATCACCTCCCATGGGAGGTGACACAATTTCACCTTCCTGGTCGCTGTTTGGAAATCGACAGCTTTGCCAAATGAGAAAGCAAAGCCTACTTCTCATCAGCCGATTGAAAATATAGAGGTATATATATATTTATTTATTGAACAAATAACTTCCAGACAGAATAGGCTCTGGTATAAGGAAGTACATAATTATATACCTATAGGTAAACATAGCATCATTCAAAATATATCAACAACTGTAAATTGGCAAACAAAGAATAATATTTGTAAATGAAAAAAAAAAAAAAATGGCATGATTAATTTTATCCAGTCCGCTGAGAAATAATCAGTTTTTCACTTCATTTTTGAATATACCTATATTTCTGCAATTTTTTATATTATCAGGTAGTTTATTGAATTCAGTTAAGGCTGAATGAGTGAATCTTTTTTGTCCGATTAGGGAGCTAGCGGCGTCAAGATGGAACAAGTTATATTGTCTACGGAGGTCTAGTTTCAGGATTATGAATTTCAGAATTCCGTATCAAAATAATATTCGACTTCAATTTTTTATTTATGATATTATATGATATTTTGAGAGTTTCAATTCTATATATTTCATCTAAAGAATACGTATTTGTTATTTCATACAATTGATTGGTTGGTGTATCAAATGGGAGACGATACAATACTTTTAACGATTTTCTATAAAATGTTGATATTTTATTGAAATTATTTTTTGAAAAAGATCCCCAAACATTTATTAAATAGTTGATACGACTCAGTATATGAGAGTAGAGAATTATGTTTGCAATTTTAATATCAAGTTTGGGACATCTTCTCAATGCACCAATAATTGGAGATATTTTTTTTGTCAGAACATCAATATGTTTGTCCCACTTCAACCTGTCATCAAACCAAATACCAAGATATTTTATCTGGTCAGTTTGTTTCAAGAGTTCATTTTTTATTTTAAGGTTGAGGTGAATTTTTTGTTTATTTATTTGGTGAAAAATCATATATTCTGTTTTGTTAGTATTTATCGATAAAAGGTTAGATTGGAGCCATTTTTCAAATATTTTCAAGTCTTCATTTATCATATTTTCTAAATCTGAAGGATTCTTGCCTTCATCTGCATACATGGTATATTCAGACGCTAGACCAATTTCACTGATATGATAAAGTAAATATAGTATAGGTCCTAAAACAGAGCCTTGTGGGACACCCTTATTGATTAATAGTTTATTTGACACAGAGTTGTTTGATTTTGTATTGATTGTCCTATTTTCAAGATATGAATTCAAAATATTTCTCACAGTGCCTCTGAGTCCCATTGTTTCTAAGTTTTCTAAAAGTGTTTTATGATCAACTGTGTCAAAAGCCTTTTTGAGATCAATGAAAACAGCTACCACATAATTTCCTGAATCAAGTCCTCTCTGGATTGAATCTATCACTTGTAGTACTGCTGCTTGTGTTATATAGAGTATAGATATTGAATAGACACCAGTAAAATTGACAGTCCATAAAAACTCACCTGTACTGATGCCAACCTCACGAAAACCAGCTGTAGCAGCTCAACAATCAACAGATAACCGGATATGTTTCGTTTCGCGAGCCATCGGCATCCTCAGACGCATTTCCCTTTCTTCAGGCTCAACTTTGCTATGTTCGGATATGTCTAAAAATGCATCGATATGTGACAATAATAAGACACAACGTCTAACTAATCAGGTCGACAGACACGCTCCCATTTGGCCCAGATCTGCTCCCAGCGCGGGAGCTCGTATTCCCGGGGTCCGAAAGCGTCCCAGAATCCAGAAATTAGAAACGCGCCAACAGATTTCACATTATGTATTTATAAATCTTGAATTATTGATCACGATCGTGTTTTGCGTGGAGAAAAGTAGTTGATTATATATACAGGGTGTTGGGAGATTCAAATGTACAGTGTGTCCAGTTTTCGATGCTTTTGCGCGATATTGTCGCAACTCAGATGCTGAACCTCCTATAGGTCGTAACTTAGCTACACTCAAAGCAATAGTATGGGTTGAATTGACAAAAAAATGTGTTTGATCAACAACTTCATTATAATTGTTGAATA